TATACTCATACTCAACATTGCTTTAAATGAGCTTCGAAGAGACCGCAAAATGAGTTTCACCTATATTCCAAGTACATTTCTTGCTCCAAAAGACACAACTCGACATCCAGAGAAGCTCAGCATAATGAAGACAGATTTGAAATGATGTCCCATGCTCGAAACTTGCAGAATTTAACGGGTAAGGTCACTTACTGTTAGACCAACATTGTCTTCCAAGCGAACGCACCTCGAACTGAACTCTGTCAAGAGTTGTGCCCTTTGTGCTATTTGCAAGTTGCTTCTCAGTTCTTTCCACTTGGTCGCGGCTGATATGAGAGAGTTCGCGTGTGTTCGTGACTTTTGACGCTTCAGCTCCCATTGTGAACTCAATTTCAACATTTACAACATAAATTCTCGTTCGAGATAGATAGAAGTGAGCGAGCTATCACACTATGACAAGTACAGTAACTAAGCGATTACTTTATCGACAATAAGTGCATAGTCGGCAAAAAAAAATCAAAACACGTAGGTTAATGTGGCTGAGAGTATGTAACGTTGAGTAATCAACTTTAAAATCATCACTCGAGTGAAGTGCTTGCACTTTTTCTTGGACTACTTAGACTTCGCAGCAATTAGAAAACTTAAGGTTGCTGCTGTTCTATCTGATTCTGAGCCATAACATCGGAGATGTTCTTCTCCAAGTCATCGATACGTTTCGTCATGTCATCAATGCGACGAATAATCTGATCAGACATATGCTGAAATCGATCCTGCGTCTGCTGGAGAACTCCTTGGATCTGAAAATGTAGAATTCATTTTGCTTTCAGCCTTGAACTATGAGTTTTTCCCTCAGAGTTTGCGCGGCTGAGGATTTGTGCAAGCCCCAGTTGAGGCATAGCCGGTGTAGCGGATTATCCATATTACGGATCTTAGACTTTTCAAGTCCTTTCAAAAAGTCTTCTGCTGTTGCTCGCAGTTTTATTCTTTACCAAAAAGCACCCCAGGGTCCGAACATACACATCTCATGTCGTCTACTCCGGAGTATTGTTGCTAGGCGCGT